GAGGAAATTAATATCTTGAGTAAATGCAGGGGAAAATGCATTTTTTTGTGTCTTTTATCAATGCAGACTTTTTTTTTCTTTTGTTTAGTTTTTTTGCTAGCAGGCAGAAAATGCCACCAACACATCCAGATGCATTGGTGAAGCTTCACATGGTCACATTGGGGTTTTTTGTTTGCCTCCAGGAATTATGCAAAGCAACACACTTGCTAACTCGGGCTGATTTGCATTGCTAGACATTCTGTGTTAGTGTGTTGGTGTAAATATTTATCACTGTAGTTTAAAAGAATAAATAAATAAAGTTTAATCCTGTGACTTCTGTGTGTGTTTGGCAGCTTTTTGACCGAGTCAGGGAGGAGAACCCCGATTTCCACCAGAAGATCATCCCCATCAGCAGCGAGCTGACGCAGCCTGGCCTGTCCATCAGCTCGGAGGACGTGGAGAGGCTCAAAGCCTGCATCAACGTCATCTTCCACTGCGCCGCCACCATCCGCTTCGATGAGCCGCTCAAGTAAGTTTTCTCACTGAGCCACGTAGCTTTGTAAGCTGGTGTATTTCTTTGTTCCTCTGGTGGATGTTGGTCTCACTAAGCAGGCCGAACCGTTTATGGATTTCCCAGAAAAGAAGAAGTGAACAGGTGGAGGATGTGAAACCAACGCTTTGTGAAAAACTCAACTGTTGACAGTGTTACGGTTAAATAAAAACATGTGGTTCCTACTTTATTCAGGAGACTAGTGTTTGTAGAAACACACGGATTCCTTGTTTTAAATCAGACTGATGACATATTTAATCATTTCCTGTCAATCACCATCTCCTGAACGTCCACGTAAGAAAAAAAAAACTCAACCATTTCTGTTTAAAACAGATGTGTTGGTCAAAACAGGCTAACTGGTGTCATTAAAAAAAATCTAAAGAGAATAAAACTGGCACCGAACACCAATGCTTTGCAGAAATATGTCATATCTCTTGAAATTTCCCACATTTAGTTATTTTACAACCAAAAACTAAAATAAATAATTTCCATATGCTTCTGAGATATGCAAAGAAANATTTATTTCAAATTTAGTTTATTTTGAGTTAATCATCATTTCTTTTCATTCTTTTAGACTTTCATATTGACTAAGTTTAAGTCTATTTTAAGTAGGTAATCTGTTTTTTTTCCGCTGCAGTTTGAAGTAAAAGTTGTTTTTGTTATTTTTATTAGTTGCCTGTTTTAGCTTAAATGAAGGAAATCGGGGCGTCTCTGAGGTGCCTGACTAAAACAGCGCAGTCACTGAGGGTATTGCTTGTTTATGTGGAGTCAGGACACCTGGAGCTTGTGTGACATCAGCTCCTGGCTCTGATCAGCCTGCAGTTGTTCGCCCAGCATGGCAGCGACTCTTCAAAGAGGCCCGGCTCACACTGGGCAACGCCGCGGACCCTGTTAGCAGCCAGAGCGGCTTGTTTGTGTGTGGCATGTTTACCCGGCCCCCAGTGGGCCCTGAATCCACAGCAGTCTGTTAGAGAGGCTTTCATCCATTTTTAATGGAGTCTAACTGAAGGCGACGAGCGCCGCTCCTCAGCCACAAGCTCCAGCCCTGTCCCCCCACCCCCACACGCTGCTGCTCCAATCATGGATTCACAGCTGACATTGACTCTGAAAGCTCTGCTCTCTCACACCTCAGGGTTGGATCGACAACTTCAACGGGCCGAGCGGAGTCTTTATCGCTGTAAGTGAAATCGCCCGGCTTCCACCTTAAAGGCTTTCATTTATGCAGATCAGTGCTGGAGGTCTTAGCTGATGTTCTGTGATCAGGCCGGGAAGGGGATCCTGCGGACCATGAGGGCCAACAACGACGCCGTGGCCGACCTGATCCCGGTGGACGTGGTTATCAACCTGACCCTGGCTGCAGGCTGGTACACCGCCATGCACAGGTGAGGCAAGGGGGCGGGGCTTTGCAGTCTGCAAAAAGTTTGGAAATGAATCTTCCTCTTTTCTGAATCTGTATTTATTCCTGATTTGTTTTTTTTTTCCTTTCATCCTGTTCTTCGTTCCTCTCTTTTCATCCTTCTTTTCTCATGTTCCCTACCCCCGTTTCTTCATATTTTCCTAAATTTATCTCCCTTTTTTTGAGTTTACTTTGATTTCTTCTTTTGTTATTTAAAACCTGCCTTTTATTTAATGTTTATGCAACAATTGTACTTTTATATTTTAAAATTTGAGGCGGTCTCAACAAGTCTAATAAGTATGAATCCATATTTCAGCATTTTATTTGTAAATGAACAAGCTCCTATGTTTTAAAATACTGAGGTGACCATTAAAGGAGAATTCCGGTTTTTAACACTTTTAGCCCATTTTCTGTAGTGTCCAGGATGAAATCGAATGATCGACACCAACATTTTGACAATTAATCCTGTCTCTGCTTTTTGGCTCAT